TATTAGTTTAATTTAGCCTAATAAAACAACATTTGTTCAGGTTGTTTTTTCATACATTTCTATACCATACATATTTATTTAAAATAATAAATGTTTGTGACCACAAGAGTTCTAATTCTGGATGAAACCTTTCCTAGCACATGCACATGCAGTAATGATTTTTTACAAATAAGGACCACAACAGTTAGAATTCTGTTTGTTAAGAAAGGAGAAAAAATTCCCATTCTTCATCTTCAATCATTTTCACCATGGGTTGAAACTGATTTTCAATTTTACCCCAATAACCAATGAAAATTAAAAAATGTTTCTAAAGTCAACATTTTCTAATGAAATTCTAAAAGTATACGGCTAGCTTTTGTTTTTTGTATGTATGTTCCTGGCCAGTTACTCAGAAAGAATTAAAGCGGAACTGAACTCATCAATGTAACAGTTAAAAAAAAAAAAGTTACAGTCCAAGCATGCCAGAAATGCTAACAGTCACATATTCTAGTGCTCTCAACCAAACTGTCAAACCATCAAATGGTTGGTGTCATAACTGATCACATGTGCAGCATCATGGCAGTTGCAGATCAAACAAAAGCTAAGATAGCAGCTTCCTTGGCTGAAAAGGATAGGAGGGTTTATTTATGCTTTAAGGTTTGAGATAGTTTGTCAATTATAAGAAAAAAGCCAATCCTGGGTTTTTTTTGCCCTGTTTAAAAACATGTAGTGTAGACACTTTATTAATTCTAATGAAAATAATACTAATTATATTACAAAACTATTAAGTCTTTTCCTGAATTTTACAGCTGCAACCTTATTATACAGAAAAATGAACTTAATCATTTAGTGACTTACCACCACTCACTGCTCAATATACTACGTGCTTGACTATTTTTATCCTCCTAGTGTGTTGATATCCACTGATGTATCATATTAATGTCTGACCATATGGTCCTGCTTATCAAACTTAGCAGTTAGAGTATTCAAAAATGAATACAGAGACGTGATTATAAGGCTTTGTTCATGCATAGCTGAGCATACTTTATAGCGTACCATGCAAAATAAAGGTAAAATGAACCCATCTCTGAAATAGGAAAATTGTCATGTAGCAATTTCAATGGGGAAATCTAAAAAATTATATATATATATATATATATACATATATATATGACTATAATCATCAATTCAGAGACTAATAAGTGTATATATATAGACTATAATCATCAATTCAGAGACTAATAACCCCAATTCTAAAAGATACACATGGGGGTTTATTTACTAAAGCTGGAGAGTCCAAAATCAGACTCCCTTCTGCATAGAAACCAATCAGCTTCTAACCTCAGCTTGTTCAATTAAGCTTTGGCAATGAAACCTGGAAGCTGATTGGTTTCTATGCAGAAGTGAGTCTGATTTTGGACTCCCCAGCTTTAGTAAATAAACCCCATGGTGTCCTCAGTTAAGAAAAGTCTCAGGTATTAACATTTTTTTTCAATTAGGTATTGTGCCCTAACACAAAGATTTACTAAAACTGGTGCACTCAGAATCTGATGCAGCTGTGCATAGTAGCCAATCAGCTTCTAACCTCAGCTTGTTCATTTAAATTTTGACAAATACACCTGGATGCTGATTGGTTTCTATGCAGAGCTACACTAGTTTTTGACCTCTTCAATTTTAGTAAATAACCCCCAATAGCTTGTTCCATGCTATTTGAGGTCAATGAAAAATGTGTAAACCACCCATGTTATGTAGAAGAGAAGAATGGAAAATGTTTTGTAGATCTAAAACACTTTCTGATCTAGGGTGACAGCACTGCTTCTCCATAGATACAGTACAGCGAGAGGGACTTGTCACCCTAGGACAGAAAGTGGTAGTGGCAGGATCACTGGGTAAATTATGGGGGGAAAAGCCCACAAAAACGAGTGCAGTCACCACATCCAAGGACTGCTAAGCTGTGACATATCATATTTTTGCTCTTGGGTTAAGATACACTCTATACATCACCTCCTGTATTATTTAAGGCAACTCTGTACTGGCACACCTAACACTGAATTGGTGAAGCAAGCAGTATAAGGTGCCTGGTCTTCATCTCACTTTTTTTCTGTCTAAAGCCAAAGCTCCCCTGAAACTCCCATGCAAATACATTTTTGACACCCTGACCTGGTGATGGTTTGCTAGGACAAAAAGTGCTGAATTGTCAAGGGACTATCACATGAGGCCCACAACCAGAAGTACCTGTTTTTTTTTCTGGGTCCCAGTGGCAGATAAGAACAGAGAGAACACTGTGAAGGAAAATGTAAGTATTTATATACACTCACCAGCCACTTTATTAGATACACCTTGCTACTGCCAAGTAAATACCACCCACACCATTACACCACCACCTCCAGCCTGAACTGTTGACACAAGGCAGGATGGATTCATGCTTTCACATTGTTTACGCCAAATTCTGACCCTACCATGTGAATGGCACAGCAACCAGTCTGCCTATTCTTCCCTGACCTCTGACATCAACAAGGCATTTTTGTCCACATAACTGCCACTCACTGGATATTTTCTCTTTTTTGGACCATTCTCTGTAAACCCTAGAGATGATTGTGTGTGAAAATCCCAGTAGATCAACAGTTTTTGAAATATTCAGACCAGCCTGTCTGATACCAACAACCATGCCACAGTCAAAGTCACCTAAATCCAAGTTCTTCTTCATTCTGATGCTCAGTTTTAACTTCAGCAAATCATCTTAACCACATCTACAGGCCTTAATGCATTGAGTTGCTGCCATGTCATTGGCTGATTAGCAATTTCTGTACCAATTAATTGAACAGGTATACCTAATAAAGTGGTCAGTGAGTATACAGTATGACCATTGACCATAGCCAATGAAAACTTTGTGGTGTTTATTGGGTATCTTTGACCAAGCAACGTTCTTAAAAACAAAATGGAAAAATCAGCATACTTGATGCCAAGCATATCAGTCAAGAAGGCAAGTTTACAGTACTGAAAAACCTTGACATCCCCAAAACCCAGAGTCAAAAGGCACCAGCTTGTGAAAACTGTACATGTCTGTATAAAGTTTTTTCTCAAGCCAAAATATCTACTATTTGTACTAAGGAAAATACCAAATGTGCTTTATTTTATTCATTTGGGTGCTAAAAGGTATACATTTTATACAATAATAACAAATCACTCCTAATTTTCTTAAAACGAAAATGATAGGTAATTTAAACAAGTTAACGGGTAAGTGCAGTTCTTTCCTAACAAACATTAACGCACCCCCCCAGCCCCACTAGGGTATATAAACTAATCCCCATTGTCTCTACAACTTACTCCATTGCAGGGAACAGCCAGCACAGATGAGAATTCTATTGAAGAAAGACCCTGCCTCACTGCTGTAGGAATAGAGAAGGCCCAGGACCTGGCGCATCAAATGGCTATCGATTTTGGTAAGTAAAATGGGCTTTCTGATTAAGATTTTTTTTTAGACTTACATGGTGGTTAGTTGGAGGGAAAGGGAACTTAATGTTCAGAGATTACCTTTACATATTAAAATAAGCAATAGCAGTTCCCGTATATCTGTTCTTTTTGGAAGAAGACATTTTAATAACCTCCTGGGTCCAAGGTAAATATAATGAAATATTACTATGACATGATCCATTAGGTAAATACACTAAAACATTACAGATGGCAACCTGCGCAAGTGTTCGGAACAACTACAGTCAGTAATTTTGAACGTGTATTTGGACAAAAAGAAAAAGATGAAGTGTGTCATTTTGAAATATTTGTTCAAAGAATAGAATGGAAAAGAAACATGCTCTAAAAAGAAATAAAAAATATTTGTTTTGGACTAAACCACTAAGATGGGCGATTAAAGCTTTATTATGACGTCAACATTGATATGCAGTTCCCAGGAACAGATTCTACAGTATTCTTAACCAAGAGACCACTCTGCCAAATTTTAAGGGAACATTCATGATAGAGTTCTGCTTTAGAAAGAGTGAGATAATTTTTTTAAAATGTGTAATAATATCTAGCTTTATGTAAATCAGCTCAAGGGACCTGGTTGGTTTTACACATCTTAAAGTTTTGGCTGCTTATTAAATGTGAAGATCCTAACACATCTCTTGTGTTTTGAGAATTGCCAGGTTCAACTGCCTGTTCTATTCAGCATGCTTTTTCCTTAATACTGACTCCAAATGAAAACTGAAATAAAAAGTAACTGGCTTTGTAATAAATATTTAACACACATTTTGTGATCTTTATTATTTTCAAAAGGGGAAAATGTCACATGTTGGAATTTGAAACAAGCTCGAAAGAGTAGGGCCCTCGTGTACTGTTGTGTTGTTGCTGTTCTGTTTCTTGTATTGTCCCCCCCCTCTATTGTACAGTGCTGAGTAAATCCTTTGGCGCTATATAAACTCAACGTAATAATAATAATAATCTTATTAGCTGAATACAAAAAAAGATGGGCAACTTTCTGGTCCAAATGATTCTTTTTTTTATATCCGAACAATGCAATGTTTTGCCGAAAACTTTGGGTAGAGGTAAAAAACAAATACCGTAAAGGTTAAAGGCTATAAACCATAAGACATACTTGTTTGTTGCCAATATACATGTTACCGTATTTTCCGGTGTATAAGATTACTTTTTTTACTTAAAAACATACCCCAACAATTGGGGATCATCTTATACGCCGGATGTGCGGTAATACTGTATGGTAGCTTCAGCTACATACAGTGTACCGTGCTATTAATGAATACAGAGCCTGCTCGGATTGGCTGAAGTTGTGACATCATCAGCCCGCCTCTCTGACACAGCCAATCCGAGCAGGCTCTGTATTCATTAATAGAATACATCACTTGCCGTGATTGGCTCATATGACGTCCTCCCATTCTCCGCGCATGCGCGGCGATACGCTGTGTCCCTTGGACACAGCTATCACCGATCACGGAAAGAGCCGAAGATGTCGGCTCGGTCATGTGATCAGCTGTGTCCAATCACAGCTGATCACATGTAAACAGGGAAATGCCGGTTATCGGCATTTCTCTCCTCTCGAGCTGTCACGCTGACAGCTCGAGAGGAGCGGAGAGCCGGTAATCGGCTTTCTGCGGAGGGGACATGTACACTGATCATCAAGGCACTGATGATCAGTGTGCCCTGAGGATCAGTGTAGCCCCAGCAGTGCCAGCTGTCAGTGTCCATCAGTGCCACATCAATGCCACATATCAGTGCCCATCTGAGCTGCCTTTCAGTGTCACCCATCAGTGCCAGTCAGTGCCACCTATCAGTGCCACCTATTAGTGCCAGTCAGTGCCGCCTATCAGTGCCATGTATCAGTGCTGCCTTTCAGTGCCCATCAGTGATGCCTGTCAATGCCCATCAGTGCTGCCAATCAGTGCCACCTATCAGTGCCAGTCAGTGCCGCCTATCAGTGCGCATCAGTGCCTGCCTATCAGTGCCAGTCAGTGCCGCCTATCAGTGCCAGTCAGTGCCACCTATCAGTGCCGCCTATCAGTGCCATGTATCAGTGCTGCCTTTCAGTGCCCATCAGTGATGCCTGTCAATGCCCATCAGTGCCACCTACCAGTGCCTCCTCATCAGTGCCCATCAGTGCCACCTATTTCATATGGGTACAGTGTTGCATGACCGCACAATTGTCAAAGTGTGACAGCGCTGAAAGCTGAAAATTGGCCTGGGGAGGAAGTGGGTATAAGTGCCCTGTAGGCTAGGGGTTAAATGGTGTTGCCTCAGAAAGGGGGTAGTCTTATACGACGAGTATAGCGCAAAACCTATGTTTTTACTGGAAAATGAGGGGTTCTCTTATACACCCAGCCGCCTTATATACGCCGGAAAATACGGTATGTACTGCAAACCTGTTGATCTTTGTTTTCTGTTTACCGAAGTCCGGTTCATTTGTGGGAAAGATGCAAGAGCAAAACCAAATGCAACTCTAATGATAGGTTTTTGTAGAATCCTGAATGCTTTGCTTGCTATGGATGAACCCAACGTATAATTCCCAACATTTTGATATGAGAAAGTGGGAAAACTTTTAGCACAAAGTATATAGGCAAAGTACATACAGTACAAGGGATGAGCTGCAGGTTTGGGATGACCATGAGTTTGAACTGAACCCAGCCTGTTCATAGTTCTGGAAATGGGTGAACAAACTGGTCAGATTTGGCCAGTTGTCTTGCCTGTCCGAACTTTCAGCTGATGACTAGGAAGTCATTCATTTAGTGGTAGTATCACTGCCTCCTTCAAATGACAGATTTTCGCTGGCTTGTTTCAAATTGTAAACAAGCTGGCAGGGATACAGGGTGACATCATTAACCAAATATGGTCATGACCATATTTAGTCAATGATGTCACTCAGGTTCCCTGGGGAACTGTCATTTGGTACTAGGTACCTTGTACCCATTCATGTAAGGGGAAAGGTTTGGATATCTGGGCGTTCTCTTATTTCGATAAGCCCCCCCTGCAGATCCCCATATCCACCTGGCCAGGAACCTGGGTAACTTCATTGACCAACCATGGGCCTGACCATATCTGGTCAAAGATGTTACCTATTGAACCCCTTGGCTGCATCGTTCACAAACAGTATGAAAACAGTGGGGAACTGGTATTCAGAAGAGGTAGTTTTTTAAATGTAACTTTTGCAGGAGTACATTGTACTAGTGTGTAACTTAATTTGCGGGTTAATGCCATTTCCCAAGCATTTAATATATTTCTGAACCTTTATTGTTTCCGATTAGACCACACTAACAGACCCTCTCCACACTGAACAATATTTTAAAAACATTTTTTTCACATTGATACACGCTTCTTTTGGCTTGATAAAGACCAGAAAAAATTTACAAGACTCACTTTCCACAGACTTCAGTAGGGTTCTCTGCTATGTTAGGGGTTTGCACATTTCCTGCTGGGTTCAGTGAATATCCACACATCACTAAAGCACACCCTTTCCCACAACCCAAGTTATAAGGACCATAAACAATGCAGTCATTTAAAGGAAGGTTTAATTCACATATGCAAACTGTTGTAATCCCTACACCGTTCACCTGTAAATACCCTCAAATTAAAGCTGACGGTCTGCAGTTAAAGCACATTTTGTTCGTTTCATTTCATATCCATTGTGGTGGTGTATAGAGCCAAAAATGTTAGAATTTTGTCGATGTCCCAATATTTATGGACCTGACTGTATATTATACCTTCATATATAAAGTCTTAAAAAGCAGTTTGTAGGCTGCCACTACTGACCTCTCCTTTTAGGGCCAGTTCACACTACATGCATTTCAGTTGCGTTTTTTCTGCATCCAAAACGCACAGAAAGTAGGTTATATGGTTGTCAATGTCATAGTCCACATCAATGCTTGCAGTTCCAGTGCATTCTGGATGCAGAAAAAAAAAGTAGAACATGCTGCATTTTTTCTGCACAGAACTGTACTGGAATGTGGTAAAACGCATAAAAAACACACCACAAATCCACATGTCCCTATTTAAATTGAAGAAAAAGAGAGGGAAAAAATGAACTGTAATGCATAAAAAACGCTGTGGAACGCGCCAAAAACACGTAAAAAATGTTCATGCAAAAATGCATCCGGAACACATCTGGACTGTGTTTCTATAGTGTGAAACGGTCCTTAAAAATATTAATTTCCTGATGGTCATGCTGACCAATGGCTTCAGTACCATCTTTTGTCATTGACACAAGTATGCAGATTAGGAGTTTTATCCTTAGTGATCATTACACTTGTTCTGGGCCAGTGACTTTGTAAGCATTGAATTTTGAAGACAGCCAGGCAGAAAATTATTATAATCTGAGCGCAGGGTTCCTTTAATAGTAGATATATCATTCATTGCCTGTGAGCTTAGGTCTCAACTTCAGTTTTGTATGTTATTAAAAAAGAGGCACATTAAATTAAACTGTACACTATTTCTTTTTTGGTGATAACATCAGGCTGGTCCTTTATGAAAGGTGTAAACCAAAATGATATGATCAACAAGAACCATTCGATTTTGTGATTTCTCACAAATATGTGATGGCTTGTTCTGGACCAATTGAGCCTGATTTTCTTGGAAAGAGATTTCGAGCATTGCATGTATGTGTTTTAAATTAGTACATTATAAGTTTTCTAAATTAGTACATTTAAAACAAATAAAAATACTAAACAAAAGAGATACAAAAATTAAAGATGAGAATTTTGGCATACATGACACATAAGGCCTTGTGATGATGATCTATCTATAAACATTTGTTCTCTTATGACTGTTTTCTACTGTCATCTAATTTCGAATAAAACCTACCTCTTGCAGGGTATCAGGCTTTTTCTGTCTTCCATTATCCGAATTCTCTGCTGTTTGGCATCATAAGTGACATTTGCCCTAGTGTTTTTACCGGTGTTGTGATCATACACTACTATCCTGCCTTCCCACTGCAAAGGTGCTTCACATGGGGTCACTGGATCCGATGCTGATATATATCTAGCATTTACGGAGTTGGTCACAGTGATTAATAAAAGGCCTACAATTATGAAAGAGCATAAAGCTTGCACTTGTCCTGTCTCCATCATCTGTGCTTCCAGCCAGCAGTGTTTACCCTTCCCCCTCCCTTCTCTCTTCTGTGCTGACTATCTGCATAGGGAGGAGCAGCCGGTGAATGCAGTGATGTAATGCACTCAGATCACAAGATCACAAGATAGAAGAGCACATAGGACATTCATTGTAATTTATATACACAATATTTGTAAGAAATTATGGGCCATAATTGAAAATCCTTCACACATGTAATGGAGCAATGCAGACATATAATGGGCTTCTTAGAGCAGAATGAGTCCTCATGCACACTGGATGTTTTTACAGCGGCTGTTTTTGACTGTTTTTGCACACATAGACTGTAATCAACGTTTTTTGCCTGGAAAAAACCCCAGGACTAGCCGTAAAAATTCTCTGAAAAACGCAGCAAAACACAGTAAAATGCCGCAAAGCGGCGTTTTTGGATTTTTTATAAAACAAAATGTAAAATAAAATGCTAAAAAAACGCAAACACATAAAAACACAAGAAGAAGCCGCTAAACGCAGCAAAGCGCCGCTAACCACTAATGCAAAAACGTTAAAAATTAGCTGAAAAACTCACGCTTTTAATGTGACTTTACACAACTAACATTACCAGTTTTATCAAAACGTCCAATGTGCATGAGGACTGCATTTAACCATTTGCCGCCCGCCCTATGGCCGAATGGCAGGCGGAAAATGTCATCAGCGTTCGGGGTGGACGCCATATGGCCTCCTCCCGCACATGCGCAGATCGCGTGCTTGCAGAGCCACGCAGCGGCGCGATCTGTCACCGGCCGTGTACCTCGGACACGGCCGATGACAGATCTGAGTATTGGCCCCATTGCCAGTACCATGTGACCTGCTGTGACCAATCACAGCAGGTCACATGACAATTGTATACAATGGATGACTTCATTCATGCCATCCATTGTATACTAGTCTCTAGCTGTGAATGGTCACAGAGATCACATGCACATGTCATGTGATTAGCTGTGGCCAAATCACAGCTAAGCACAAAAAAAAAACCCTGAATGAATCGATGTCATTCAGGTAAATGCTTGCTTATAGCAAAGTAATTCTTTGCTATAAGCAAATTGTGTAAAAAAAAAAAAATACTGATAACTTCCCCAAAGGAGTACAATGTTACTATGGTAACATTGTACTACTTTGGTCATAGTGAAATATGAAAAAAAAATCTTAAAAAAATAATAAAAAAATAATAAAAAAATAAAAAAAAATAAAAAAAAATATATTTTTTTTTTTTCATACTGTCACCAGTCAGTGTCCCTGATCACCGCCATGCCACTTATATGATGACGCTGTACTGCACTGGTGACAATATGTAAAAAAAAAAATAGTGAAACAAATTTTTTAAATTTTTTCATTTTCCGAAAAATTATGACAAAAAAAAATACAACTTCAAAAAACTCACCATGCCTCTTATGAAGTACGTCAGACTGTCTACTTTGCAAATAGGGGTCATTTGGGGGATATCTGTACTGTTCTGACATTCTTGGACCTCAAGAAATTAGATTGGCTGTCAGTACTTCAGGATTGATCAATATTCAGATCTATACCATAGTTTGTGAACTCTATAACTTTCCTACAAACTAAAAAATACATCCTAATTTGGGTTATTTTCACCAAAGACATGTAGCAGAATACATCTCGGCCTAAACTTATGAAGAACAATTATTTATTTGCAAACTCATAACAAAAACAAAGAAAAACTTTTTTTTTTTTTTTAATTTTTTTTTATTAATTTAGTAAAAAATAAACCCCAGTGTGATTACATACCACCAAAAGAAAGCTCTAGTTGTGTGAAGAAAATTATAAAATTTTAGTTTGGGTACAATGTTGTATGACCGCGCAATTGTCATTCAAAGTGTGAGAGCGCTGAAACCTGAAAACTGGCCTGGGCAGGAAGGTGTAAAATTGCCCGGCATTGAAGTGGTTAAAACATACACAGACACATTATAAGGGTAGGTTCACACATATGCAGG